GGACTCTGCTTTAAACTGCTTTGTGTCTCTCCATCAGATAACCCCATGTGCGTGATGTACCATTGACAGGTATTTCCCCAAACCACCACACAGTTCACACAAGAATGTAATGATTACAAAACGATTAGTTATTTTTGATAATTATTAGATTATTTCAGTTAGTTTTTCAATAACAGTTGTTAGTTTCATTTTGGTTTAGTTATTTTGAAATTTTAATTTTATTTCAGTTTACGAAAATATTTTTTCACCAATCGTTTTCGTCTTAGTTTTAGTTTTCGTTTACGAAAATAACCTTGATATGCACACACAGTAGTCTAACCGACATCACGTAACGTATGCATGCACTCTCTGGGTGTGTTTCCATTTGGTTTTTAGAATATACTCGATAATGTCAGATTGCACATTGTTAAAACAACTAGGGGTGCACCGATCCGATATTCAGTATCGGTATCGCTCCGATACTGGCATTTTCTGCCGGATCGGGGTATCGGTCAGACGAGGCCGATCCAAATCCGATATTGTGCGTAAACTATTCTGTTATTGTTAAGCGCCACAAAAGCCACAAACACATAATAAAGCACCATAAAGTCGAGTCCTCTGCTCAATGTGACTTTGCTGCAGCCTGGAATTGAACTGCTGGTTCAATTGAACCGGCCCCCCGACTGAGCCTGGTTTCTCCCAAGGTTTTTTCTCCATTCCGTCACCGATGGAGTTTTGGTTCCTTGCCGCTGTCGCCTCCGGCTTGCTTAGTTGGGGACACTTAATTTCCAGCGATATCGTCGACTTGATTGCACAGATATTATTTAAACTGAACTGAGCTGGATGATGACATCATTGAATTCAATGATGAACTGCCTTTAACTGAAAATGGAGTGTTTACTATTTTCATTTTGTTTAATGCTGTACAGTTGCTTTGACACAATCTGTATTGTTAAAAGCGCTATATAAATAAAGGTGACTTGACTTGTAGTTTCCGTGCACTATATTTCACTATATTTTAAGTGTTCTGAAGCTGTTCCACAGTTTCATGTGAGGTACAGGTGAATATTTAAGTCAAGTTCACATAAACTCTTGTCTCCGCTGCGGCTGTCTGTCATCCTCCATTCAGTGTTCAAACAGCGCGTCGCGTTCAGTTACGACAGTCAAGACGATAAAACTCTCTCCCAGATGATTCACTGTTGCTAATATTACGGTTGATCTGTAAATAAAGATAAAAGGTTTTGCTTAAAAGGACTTTATCTCGCTGGAGCTTTGTGCTGTTTCTAAATCGTGTTACTTTCTACCTGGTGTCTGTTAGATCACAACACTGTTGTAGAAAGCACTATGATCTTCACAAGCACAGTAAATTTAAACCTGTTAAAAGAAAAGGCTCAATAAACTAACACACAGATTTAATACACTACACATCAACAGCACCCTCCAAGGTCATCACCATCATTTCAGCCACTACAATATCTCTTCCCTTTGTGCTTTGAACTTTTCTATGTGGAGCACTGCGCGCTGTGACTCCGTGTTGCTTCAAGTGCATCATTCTGCGCACGGGATGCGCATAAGCGCTTTGTGCCGTTCTGTATTTGGAGCCTTTCGTATTATAATATTTTTGCGCAATGAAAGATTATAGCCTTTCTTGTTAGTCTCATCTGTCATATAATCATATAGTGCTGCCTCATTACTGTGCTATAAATTTAAAAGAAATGACCTTCAATTTTACAGTAGGCCTATATATATATTTATATATAAATATTTTACTTGTTTTTCATGAATTAATTTTACAACAATACAAAGAGCAATGTGTATCATTTTACCAGATTTAGTCCTACACTTATTCACTTTTATTTGTTCCCCACTAAATAATGTTATTTCACTAAATATTTAGATTTTAT